ATTAGTATAGTTCATTCGTTACACTTCATGAGCCATTATGGATACATTGCTATTTACTAAAGTCCATAGTTTGCCTTAGAGTTCACTCTTTGCATGCAGATTCTATCAGTTTGACAGAGGTATAATGACTTTTATACAGGATAGTTTTGCTGTCCTAAAAATCCTCTGTGCTCCACTGTTCATCCCTCCTGCCCTCCCACGCTCACCCCAACTCTTTTACTGATCTTTTTACTGTCTCCATAGTTTCGCCTTTTCCATAGTGTCATATGGTTATAATCATACAGCATGTAGCCTTTTCAGATTGGCTTCTTTCACTTAGCAATATGCACTAAACTTCCTCCATGCCTTTTGGTGGTTTGATAACTCATTTTTTTATATTGCCGAATTACATTCTGTTGTGTGTCCCACATTTTATCTATTAACCTCTTGAAAGACATCTTGGTTGCTTTCAATTTTGGAAATTATGAATAAAGCTGTTACAAACAATTATGTGTAGGTTTTTGTGTGAACATAAGTCTTTTTTTTCCCATGGTTTAGGTATTTTTATTTATTTTATTTCAAAATATTACAGTGCTACAAATATTTTTGGTTACATGAGCCACTTTTATATTTGAGTCATGGTTAAGTATGCCTATCACGCAGACAATGTTTATTGTATGGTAGGTAGGTTTTCTCACATTCCTTCTTGCCCTCTCCCGCCTGCTTGATTTTCACTGAGTTGTATTTCCCTCCATACACGTTTGCTCATTGGTTAGTTCCAATTTAATAGTGAGTACACGTGGTGTTTGTTTTCCCATTCTTTATATACGTCACTTAGGATAATGGTCTCTGGTTCTATCCAAATTGTTGCAAAAGGCCTTAAGTCATCCTTCTTCATGGCTGAGTAGTATTCCATGGTGAGTGAGTGAGTTGTGTGTGTGTGTGTATAGACTTCACATTTTGTTAATCTACTAATGAATTGATGGGCACCTGGTTGATTCCACATCTTTGCAATTGTGAATTGTGCTGCCATAAACACTTGTGTGCAGGTGTCTTTTTGATAAAATGACTTCTTTTGATTTGAGTAAATACCCAGTAGTGGGATTGCTGGATTAAACAGTAGGTCTACTTTTAGCTCTTTGAGGTATCTATACTGTTTTGCATAGAGGTTGTACTAATTTGCAGTCACAACAACACTGTAGAAGCATTCCTTTCTCATCCACACCAGCATCTATTATATTTGGACTTTTTATACAAGCCATTCTGATAGGGGTACAGTGATATCTATCTCATTGTGGTTTTAATTTGCATTTCCCTGATGATTAGTGATGTTGAGCATTTTTTCATATGTTTATTGGCCATTTGTCTATCATCTTTTGAAAAGCTTCTGTCATGCTTTTTTCCCACTTTTTGATGGGGTTGTTTTTGTTTTTTGTTTTTTTTTTTTTTTTTTTTGCTGATTTGCTTGAGTTCTTTATAGATTTTTGTTTGTAGCCCTGCCTCAGATATATAGCTTGCAAATATTTTCTCCCATTCTGTAGGTTGTCTATACAGCATTCAGAGATCTTCCCCATAGTTATCTGTATCCATTTCTGTATTTTTATCTGTATCTGTGTCTGGGAATGACAATTCATTGTTGGTATGATCACCAAATAACTTTACTACTTCCAGGTTTAAGCAAAACTAAGCATTTACATCATCCCACTATAAATGGCAAGTACGTTCCTACCATACAGCATCGTTTACAAAGGAAGATACAGAACATCTGTTTTTCTGCAATGCAGATTTCCTTTTTATTTCCCAGAGGATTTTTTCGAAGATAAATTAAGGTGTACACAAAACAGTTTTTTTCAAGTATTTGAGGTGTAATTATAACTCAGAACTATGCGTGAAGCATGTGACTTTCTTTTATACTTTCTGATCATGACTTTATCATCAGAATCAATCCAACAATGCCAAAGGAATTTAAAGAAAGAAATTATGACAAAAGATTTGGGAGACCGTTTTGCATCTCTTGGACCATCCTACTCAAATCTCAGCGATTCTGCTGCTTTGGCACTGTTAAAAATTAATTCTAAGGGATTTATAACAGTTACATTTAAAAATATTTTACTATTATTTAACCACATAGCATTTTCTAAGCACTTTTAATAGCTTGTGCTGTAATTAAATTTTGACATGTTACAGTGCACAATGCTTCTAAAACTATAAGTTGTGCAGCTAATTGATAATTCAAACTCTAATTGAGATAATGAAGCTGGTCTTGGACATCAGTGAGATGGTCACCTAATTAGCTTCTTAATTCTTTTTATTAGATGAGTGGACAGTATACCCGGGGTGATAATAGTGCAGTAAAGTTAATACAAGAGGAAATAATGTGGATGAAATGAATTGGAGCATGGATATAGCTTCTTACTGTTAAATCTCTGTAGTGCTTGAGAGCTTAAAAAGGAACATTCCATTTTTTAATCCCCTCTTATCCACTCCCAACAAGGTGCAATGGGAAAGGTCTAGCTCATAGTAAATGATCCATAAATGCTGATTACTCAGAATTAGGGATTCTAGGCTAGAGGGAATTGTCATTACAAAATTTTATGGGGTGGGGATGAGAGACCTAGATTTTAAGTTTATGCAAGCAATCCTACATTGTATTATTATAATAATATCACTTTGGGCTTTGCTTGTATGAAAAAGAAAGATTATCTTTGCTGCCTTCATTAATATTTATAATAATTATTATGATAGTAATTAGACAACATTTAGTAAGCATCTTCTACGTGTCAAATACTGAGCTAAATGCTTTATATGCATTACTTATTACATTCTTACAACAACCAAATTAGGTAGCACTATTAATGTGTAAATGAGGAAAGTTATGTTTAAAGACAGCTTAAACAACTTGTTTGGGTTAATAGAGCTAAAAGGTGTGAGACTGTACATTTAAACTACAAACTTTAAACTACATACTATACATCCACCACCATGTCATGCTGCCTTCATTTTTTTAAATGGTCTATGAGTAAAACACCGATTAAGGTAACTAACTTATTACATGCAAGAAATTGGCATTTCAGTATATCTGATCCTAATCTGCAGGTACTAGCATTTTCCTTCTGGAAAACAACTGAAAGTAGTGGTTTTAATTTCATAGAAGCTCCTAAAGCTGACTACAAACCATTATTTATTCCTGGTCAAATGCTCCACAAGTTTACCTCAACAACTCTTGCCAATTTTACTCATTCTCTTAAGCTTTTCCTATAATCCATGCCCTAATTTTTTTTTCACTCTTGACTTCCCTCTTGAATTCCCATTTTGCCAAAATATATTCATGCTATACTCATCTCTTCCTTTCTTTTCTGTCAGTCTCAGCAAATGAGCTGTTATTCTTCCATTCAACATGGGACAGACAATGTTACTTGGACACCATCTTCTGTCCTTCTTATAGGTCATTATTTGATCAGTCTTTTTTTCTCCTTGTCTTTTTTTTCTTTGACTCTTCAAAAGGGTAGCTTATATTTGTCTTAAAATTTTCAACTCCATCCAAATCTCAAACCATTGCAAAATGCCCTCTGCTTTTACTACTGCACCATAAAACTATTGTCCTCAAGATCAGTAATGGCCTCTGGTTTCTACAATCAATTGACCACTTTGGAACCAGTATCTTTTTCCAAGGAGCTCTGATTTCCTTGATTCTCAAGATGCCACCCTCTCTTGATTACCCTTTGTTTGTCTGGGACTGCCCTGTCATGTCCTATTCTTAAGGTCTCTTACTCTTTATTTCCCTTAGATATATGGATGCTAAGCCGAGCTCTTAACTCTTCTCACTCTACACAAGCTCCCTTGGTGACACTACATTTTATTTATTTATTAATTTATTTAGTCATTCAACAAATCTCTATGGAGTTTTCTCTATGTACCTGACAATATTTCAGACACAGGTTATAGAATGGAGAATTAAACAAAGTCTCTGCTACATGGAACTAAGACTTTAGTCACTATATATAGAAAAAAAAAAAAAAAAAACCAAAAAAAACTTGGCAAAAGGGAAAAAACAAACCAACCAACCAACCAACCAACCAACCAACCAACCAACCATCTATCTATATCTAGATGAGCAAAACAGGGCAGGGGGAACCAGGAATGACAGAGGGTACCACCTAATAAGGTACACTTAACAATGACCTGAGTAAAATGAAAAGATAACCAGACATATTCTGAGGGAGGAACATTTTAGATAAATAGAATAGAGATTTTAAAATCCCTGAGTTTGAAGTATGCTTAGAATTAACCTAGAGATAGCAAGGAGGCAAGTGCGGCTGAGGTGAAGGGAGCAAAAAGGGGAATAGCATGAGCTGAGCACAGAGAGGTGGAAACAGAAAGCTCATGGAAGCTTTGCAGGCTGCATAAGTTTGGATGGAAGTTCCAGCTGTTACAGGAACAAATTTTAACAATAGCCTGAACCAAATAGAATTAGTCTGTCTCTCTTTTGAAAGTTTAAGTTTAAGTCATCCAGAAATGATGTGCTAGTGCCATGATGAAGGGAACTAGACCATTTGATCTTTTTGTTTTGTATTCTTAAACTCCATGCTTCCCAAATTGCATCCAAGGGGGCTATTTTTTTTTATCCTAGAACACAGCTGTACTGCAACTAGTGATAAGATAGAAGAAAGTGAAAGCAGATACCTTTTACTTGGAAAGCATGACCAAAAGGTTAAACACATCCCTTTTATTAGTGTTGCCAGAATCCGATCACATAATCAAAATTACATCCAAGAGAGATGAGAATGTAGCCATTAACTGCATTTCCATGTCATCAGCTAAAAGCTCTTGTCAATATAGATGAATTAGAGGGTTAACACTGGGGAGACATAGTAATCTAAACTACAATGGCAAAAATAATTTTGAATGTTTCTCTGAGCATGGTGAAAAAAATCTAGGAACATTTTGAGTAGAAGAAGAATGATGCAACTCACATTTTTAAAATAGGTCTATGGTTTCTGTGTGGAAACCAGGAACCAGCTATTTGCTACGTAGGTAGTGATTGTGACAAGAGAACAGTTGAAACAAGATGACTACTTAAGAGGTTGTGGTTTCGAATCCATTTACGTATGCCCAACCCTCAAGTCTAAATCTTTTTTCTATATCATACTTTGAATTTTTAAGTATTATGTTTATATCTTATAATTTATTCAATTCCCAAAATTATCTCCAATAATCGAGTTTAACATATTCAAAATCAACTCACTTGTCTTCCCTCCTAATATGATAATTCTTCTTTCTGTAGTCCTATATTCTCCATTTCAGTAGATGGCATCTGGAAAATTTATAAGTTTTTGAGGTATTTTTGTGACAAGTATAAGGTCTGCATCTACATTCATTTTATTTTTATTTTTTTGCATATAGATATCCAATTGTTGAAGTACCATTTGTTGAGAACACTGTTCATTCTCCATTGAATTATCTTTCTTCTTTTGTGAAAGATCAGTTGACTATATTTGTGTAGATCTATTTCTGGGCTTTATGTTCTGCTCCATTGATCTGTGTGGATAGTCTTTCACCACTACCACCCTGTTGTGTTGGCTGTAGCTTTGTAGTTAGTCTTGAAGTTGGATCATGTCAGTACCTAACTTTGTTCTTAAGTGTATTGGCTATTCTGGGTCTTTTGCCTTTTCATATAAACTTTATAATTAGTCAATATCTATGAAATAGCTTGCTGAAATTTTGACTTGGATTTCATTGAATTTATCATATATCTTTTTATCTCCTAAATATTTCCTAATCTGATTTCCTTCAATACCTACCACCACTATCACCGCTACCACCACCACTACTACTACTGATACTACTACTGTTTCTGAAGCCCTTGTACAGGGTTTGTTTTGTCTTTCTTGGATTAAATAAGCTTTCTAACAAGTCTCCTGCCTCCAGTCTTGTCCTCTTCAAATACATTCATACACGGTTCTAATTAAAATGAATGTTGGCCCATTTAAATTCCTATAAAGATCTCACATGCAGAACAAATTCTACTTCCCTTCATATGTCACAAGATGTCACCTATGGATTAGTTTCTCTTAGATTACCTCTTCATTTCATTCTTTATGTTCCAGCAACTACAAACTTTTTGAAGTTTTTCACAATTTATGTTACTACTCTTAAGTGTGTGCTATCACTGCTCACTTTTAATGAAATTCCCTTTTCTTCTCCCTTAGCTTAGATCAACTGTCTTCTCTGTGTCCAGGATTTTTTTTTTTTTATTCTGAACACATATACACTCACCTCTACATTCACTACTTCCTTAATTGTCTGCATATTTTTCATCTCTGTGCATAAACAATACATCAAAATCTTCTGTTCATGTGCCTATGTGCTCCTTGTGAATAAAGAATGGTTTTTACACAACTTTGTTTCTGGCATACTTAACACAGTGACTGGCACATTTTGGTACCCAATAAAAGTTTACTGAGTAAATAATGGAACAAATAAATGAGTAAAGTATGATCTCTCTATTCAAGGACTCATAGAATTTCCATTTCATGATATTGTTCTTGGTTAAAACAAATACCTTTCAAAGACCAATTCAGATGATAAAAGTCATATGCCCTTCAAACAGCTGTTCACCTGTGGAGTTCTCAGTTTTGTTGCCAATCTTTCTTCCTCTGTGTTGGTTTAGCCATGAAAATAGTTGTTTTTATTCCGTATGCCAATAATCTTCTGCCACATATCTGCATTAAGTCAGCATTTTTAAAAAAATTGTTGCATCTCTGTGGATGCATTCCGAAACAACACCTTTGGACATTTTAGTTGACAAATTATATATTTGTTTTTAATTTCACTTTTACTTTTATCTAAAAACCTACTATTTTTCCTTTTTCTGACTTTAACTTTTCATTTCTGGTTAGGGATATGTGAAGGCAAATTAATTTCAGAGTAGTAAATAAAATGGCTTGGGATAGATGTAAAATAACCCATTATTTTAAACCCAAACAAATCAAGTTTCTATCTTCCTTTGTTTGTTCATTTGGGGATTTAGTAGAAGGCGATCTGTCTGTAAGAAATTTAGAATACACCAGACAGAGACTAAGATAAATGCTGAAAATAGTTTATTTCAACATTTCCCAAATTTCTCATCTGAAACTATTCCTAGGAGATACCTATTTCTATTCTGAGCCAGCTCTGTGGAGAAGGATTATAAATTTTGACATGTTTCTCTTTGATTTTATTTTCAGAATTTTTTATTTTCTATCAATCACTCAATTTGATACAGAAATAAATATGAGTATTAATCATACTGCAATCTGAACACAATATTTACCATATTGGGGTGAAATGACTCTGCCATAGTTTCTTGTTCCTTAAAATCAATATCTCAGAAAATTTTACAAAGTAACTGTTAACTTTTAAATATCCAAATTATTGAGATATCTGGACTACTAACAATGCTGATTTCTGGTTCCTAGGCCCAGAAAGCCTAATTCAGAAAAAAAGCATACTCTGAGAAACAGTGGTTATTCTTTCTAACACAGAGAGTCTAGTAAGATCTACAAATCTGAATCACCGTAATATTTCTCATTATATATAAGCCAGAGAGAAAACTCCAAGATGGTTTTCTGGATTCAGGAACATCATGATATATATATATATACACATATACACACACACACATATATATCTACACACACACACACATATATACACACACAAATAAATAATTATAACATAGTTATATACACATATATAAAACATTACTATATATGTTATTACTTTATGTATAAAGTATAGTATAATATTACTATATTGATATGGTAATAATTTATGAATGTGCCAATAGATATATGTGTACACACACACATGCATATGCATATTGCATATGGTTTGAATATGTTCTCCAAAAGTATGTGTTTGAAAATCAATTCGAAATGAAACAGTGTTGGGAGGTGGGGACTAATGACCCTTGATTAAGCCTTGAGGGCTCCGCCCCCATGATGGATTAATGCCATTATTGCAGGAGTGGGTTCTTTAAAGAAGGATGAGTTTAGTTCCTTTTGTTTCTCTCTCTCTGTCTCTCTCTCCCTTTTTCTCTCTCTCTGCCTTTTTATTTCTACCATGTGGTACTTTTTGCCATGTTATGACACAGCAAGAAAACCCTCATCATATTCTGGAAGCTTAATCATTGATTTCCCATTCTCTAGAATTGTAAGCTAAAACATTTCAATTCTTTATAAATTACCTAGTCTCAGGTATTCTGTAACAGCAGCACAAAATGTACTTAGAGACACAAATACCACACACACACACACACACACATACACAAACACACCTATATACTCAAATATATATGTATGTGTATGGGTACACTCATATATTTAAAAATGTATAATTAAATTGCTCTAATGTTAATTAAATTTTTGCTTATCTCTGTATTTTACATAAAGGGGTACTTTAACTTCATCATTCACTTATAAACCAATTAGTTTCTAAGCTATTCAATATGATGCTTTTTTCTTCCAAGAAAAAAAACTTCTAATTGGAATTCTGAGATATGAAAATGTGCACTGTGGTAAAATATAGACATATAACTATTGCATTTAATGGGTAAAACACTTGAGGAAAAGCATTTTAGGTATATAACACAGCTTAAACTCAATAAAATAATTTTCTATATAGAAGACTTTCTGAAACAAAATGTTTCCAAACTGCTCAAAAATTATTGCATCAAAAGTTGATTTGTTTAACACTGTAATATAATCTTTCAAAATATCTGCCCATAAACTTTGTTAAGACTTTTTCAAAAGAGGTTACTTAATAACACTCTCAAGAAAAGAACTATAGACCTCCAAAAAATTTAGGTATGAGGATAGATGATTTCAGAAGTAATTTATTATTTTATGTCCCAGAGGAACTAAACCTCTGATAAAAGAATGCGTTTTATATTAGACTGACCTATTGTACTCAAATGAATTTAACTTGTTTATTCAAAACAATGGACTAGCTTGAATAGGCAACTGAATAGTTCATTTAATTCTAGTACTTGGATAGAAAGAATTAGTTTGTCACTGAGTATAACTGATAGGTTATTTTATGACCTATAGATATAACATAGATAAATAATATGTGACTAAGACAGACCTTCTTACTGATTTGGAGATTAGAAAATTAGAATAAATCTCTCGTTTTAAGAGTGCATGCATATAAAAGGAGATAAACCATTGACAATTAGGAAAGGCCACATAGAGGAACGTTTGATGACAAATTGATTTAAGCCCCCAGACTGATGATTTAGTTAAGAACGACTTCAACCTCCAAAATACATTAAGGTGGGGATTTGGGGAAGATGGCAGAAGGGAAAGCCCCCACCAGAAACATCTCTTTCCACCTAGCCAAAAATTGAACTGGTAGAATCTCTCTGATGGAACTCTTTTAGAACTATGGCCTTTATTGAAAGCTTGCAACTTCCAGAGGAGAGTCTGGATAGTAAATTGTGCTTAATTTCAGCTCTTAACCACAAAGCAGCTACCCGCCTCCACTCCTCAGTCCTGTGGCAGGCAGCTGGGCATGTGTTCTGGAGCAACTTGAACACAGCTTGAGAGAGCCAAGGTGGGTACAAAGGACCTGGTCATTCAAATATGGAGGATCTGTGCTCTGATTGATTGCTGGTTCTGATTTTAGAGGTGAAGACAAAGAGGCAAGACGATTGTTGCACCTTCCCCTGTTGTTGTTGCAACCCCCTCTCCCTTGGCTGAAGTGACTTTAGGGAATTTAAAATGATTGGCACCTTTATTTTCCCCCTTCATTTTTCTTTTTCCCCTTTTGGAGCAATACAGTGAAGTCTAGTATATCCCAAAGCAACCGCACACAGTGGAGAAATCAGAAAGTCACTGTGCATGCTCAAGCACAGGCTCAGAAAAGATCTGAAAAGAGCTTCAGTTTACACCTTAGGCTGATCCTTGGAACAAAAAAAAAAAAAAAAAAAAAAAGAAACAAAATCAAAAATCTGAAAGCCTAGATAAGAGAGAAAATCTGATTTTCAGACTTGCTAGAAAGATTATGAGATTCAAATGTCCTATTTTTAATAAAATCACAAGGCATACAAAGAAATGAGAAATTATGGCCCATACAAAGAAAAAAATAAACCTTTTGTCAACAGAGACTGTTGACAAAAAAGACCTGGTGGTGGCAGACCTAAATTGCTCACTGTCCCCAGATATACTCTCCTTTTTTTCTTTTCAACTGTATTTTTCTGCTCACCAGTCTATACTCTTTTCTACTTTTCATTGGTCAAAATCCCATTTCTATTTAAAATTTTTGGACAGCAACCTCCATGCAGCCTCTCATAGGAATACTTTATTGATATCATTTTTTTTGAGACAGGGTCTCACTTTGTTGCCCAGTGGTATTAATTTGCTCTGATCTATAATTATCATTGAAAGTTCCGGGGACCATTTTTAATTATAGCAAACAAGATAAGCCTAACTCCAAATGACATAAGTAAAAAAGGAAATGTATTAACCTGTAGTAACAAAATGCCCAAAGGAAAATTGATCCAGGAAACATGATCACCAAGATTTTATTTTTCTCTCTTTATATCTCTTGAGTAATTTTTTAGTGTTAGCTTCATTCTCAGGTCTGCATTGCCAAGATATGATCCCTAGCAAGTACAGGTTTATGCAATTCTTCGAGCTAGGAGACCTAAGGTGAGGAGAAGTGAATAACTTATTAGACAAATTCTAGATCAAGCGACCAATCCTGGAGCTTATGGTATTGCCAGTTCTCCTCAAATCATGTGTACAGAGAGTAGATTAGTATATAAGTCAGCTCTTACTGCCTAACTCCATAATTTAATGGCATAACCATAAACATTAATCCCTCAGCATCTACAGCATTCAGCTGATCTTGACAGGGTTGATCCTGCTTCTTTAGGTTACCTCTGCTGCACGTATTTCTCATTCCCCTCCTGGGAGCAGTAGGCTAATCAGTTAATGTCCAAGGTTCAAAACAGCAACTTTATTATTGAAGACCATTTCAAGCTTTTGTTTGTATCACATCCACTAGCACAGAATGCTGTAGCATAGGCCAGAATCAAGAAGCATGAATATCACCCCACCTGCAGTGTGAAGTTCTTCAAGGTCATAACTACAGTGAAGGATGGAGAAATCAGGCCAGAAATTCAGTCTCCCACAGGAAGAGTCGTTCCTAGAGGAAGCACAAGATTCTCATTAAAATTAAAGTAAATAGATTCAGGGAAGAAAAAATAGCCATAGTAGAGACCATCTCCCCTTTAACGTAATCAATTCTTAATGTTATAGGAGTCTTGATAGACTACCCTACATCATATTTAATTTTGAAAATCCTATGGTTCCTAAAACAGTGTCAGGTATAGGGTACTTATTCAGTGAATATTTATCCAGTGTAAAATCGCCAATTCATTTTTGCAACAAACATTGTAATACTTTCCCACAAAGAGGCATAGAATTTTCAGAGCTTGCATATATTACTCAGAAACATTTTCAGCTTCAGTTAACACATTACCTGATTAACAGTAGATTTAATCAACAAGAGTTTAATTTCTTGATTGAAAAATGTAGAGATTTGCACCTGCTTTTTTCAATAGTTCATTAATGTCAGATACAGCATCTTTATGATTTCCTTTGCCTTTATCTTATGGCTGTAGAAAGGCTATCACAGCTCCAAGCATTATATCAATATTCATGGTAAAAAGACATGGCAAAGAAATGGTGATAGGTATACCTGTACCTACAGGAGACAAGGGATATTTTTCCCAAATTGCCACAAGCAAATCTTTGCCCACATTTCATTGACTAGAACCATGTTGCCTGCCAAATTTTAGCTGCAGGGAGAGGCTGAGAAAGTGACCACGACGCTTACACATTCTATTGTGGAAAAGCATAAAAAAGAAGAGTGTTTGGATATCGAAAATCTTTAATGGACTAGCAAGTTATGGCTCCAACCCCTCCCACCTCTAGGAATTAAAAATTAAACTATTAGTGTTCAATAAGATTCATTAGTAAATCAAACAATACTTATGTGAGTGAATATTAATCTTAGAGTAAAAACTTAGATGTAACAAATGGCTAATTAATAGTTGTGTAAGTTTAGAAAAGTTGCATAACTTCTCTGTGCCTCTGTTCCTTAATCACTATAATGGGAATTAAAACATGCACTTTGAGGAGTTATTCTGAAAATTCAATGAAATAATAAAATTGAAATACATTACACAGCATTCAACATCAACTCTCTATAAATTACACTTATTATTTGGTTGATAAATACAGAATATTCTTTTTTACAATATTTACATAGAACAAGATTCTAAGGTAGTATGGGTTCCAATTGTAAACAATTTACTTCTTGTCCTCCAAAGATGATCTTAAAATGTTTCCAATTCTACTTCACAGTCAGGTGATTACAATTAAAAATAATATATGAAATATTTCAAAATAGCTAAGAGAGGGAATTTTGAATGGTTTTACCAGAAAACAATGACAAATGTTTATGGTAATGGATATGCTATTATCCTATAAGGACCACTCCTTGCAAGGAAAAATATCCTATTCTCAACAAGCTGTGGAAAACTTTCATGATTTCATCACCACTCACTCTCCATCCTTCTCTGATACTGGCATAAGCAAGCTACTGTTAAGATGGCAAAACTGTGTCAACGGTTTAGGTGCATACTTTGATTAATAGTACTGCTTCGTGTTTGAAATATAATAAACTAAACTTTTGATTTGAAATCAAGCATTCCATATTTAGTGACCTAAATATTATGGATGCAAATGAAGTTATGCATTAAAGGTAGTTTTAAATTATTCTCTTTTGACAAATTTTTATATAAGAAAGAATTTTTCTTACTTAGTTTAGAAATCAAACACACTGAATGTTCCTTTTAAACATATCACTGCCATGCCCATGCACCCATATATACACACCTCTCATGGTAACAAATGATACCTTAATAATGTGTAAAGAAAACTTCCATTGATACCTTTACTATAGTTTGGTTTGTATTTCTTCCAGATTTCTTGTCTTAATTATTTTTTCTCTTATGCCTATTTGTCATCTTGTGACAAAATGCACTAGAGCTTGGAAGACTCTATTTAAGGGTTACTAATTATTATTACTATTATTATTATTCTCATTGTTATTATAAATGAATATATGCTATACACAATTTCCTCAATATCCTACATCAATAAAGCCAATAACATAATTATATAAATCCTAACAAAGAGATTAGTGAAATGTTCCAAGATTCAAAGGATTGTATTTTATCAGTATGACCCCATCTACAAGTGAAGAGGTACCGAATATTCAAGAATTGTAACAGTATCCAAAGGTGAATAGCGGAAAAGAAAATCCATATTTTTCATGAAAAGTTTGAGTTCACATCCTTGCCCTTTAAACTCACTCCAAAGTCATTTTAATATCTCATGTTAATATTCCTGTTTTAAGTCTTCCTCAACTCATTGGCTCAGTTACTAATGGAGGAGGTGACATAGATGTGGACCTTATTATGTAAGACCTAACATACAGAGAGTTTGGACAGTCAACATTGCTTACAATGACTCTTTAGTTTATTATTATTTTTTTTTACTAAATCTTAATTGCATATTAACTACCAAACTGTACTAACTAATCTCTCAACACCAGAATCCCAAGGAAAATTTGACTCAAGATTCCCTTTAACTCCATCATTCTCTAAAATACAATTCCTAAGTCACTTCACATTGCACTCAAATTCCAAATATCCTAACAATGACTTTCATCTATCTATCTGTCTAATCATACTATCATCAATTCTCCACTTTCACCATGACCAACTCTCAATGGCGTCCTTTCTGTTTCACTAATATGCCAAGCTCATTCCTGTTTCACTAATATGCCAAGGACTTAGTGCTGATGATAGGTCCAACCAGATGCCCTCCCTTCATCTCAGGCCTCTCCTGACAACCTGGACTAAAATTCACTTATATGTTTTATTATTCTTTTCAATTACTTTCCCCCAATATAATTATATTCTAAAATGCCTTTCCTGGCTTTGGCATCAAGGTGATAATGGCTTCATAAAATGAGTTTCGGAGGATCCCCTCCTTCTCAATGCTAGGAATAATTTCTGCATGTTAGGTACCAGTTCTTTGTAGGTCTGGTAGAATTCGGATGTGAATCCCTTTGATCTGAGACTTTTTTTTTTTTTTTGGTGGGAAAATTTTATTACTGCTTCAATCTTACTGCTCATTACTGGTCTGTACAAGATTTCTATTTCTTTCTAATTCAGGCTTGGGAGGTTGGTGTTCCCAGGAATTTATCCATTTCCTCTACATTTTCTAGTTTGTGTGCATAGAAGTTTTTGGAGTATTCATGGATGAATCTTTTATATTTTTGTGGTATCAGTTGCAGTGACTCCTTTTTCATTTCTATTTCAATCCTTTCTCTTCTATTTCTGGTTAATTTGACTAGTGATTAGTCAATTATGTTTATTATTTTCAAAGAACCAACTTTTTGTTTCATGGATCTTTTGTATCTCTTGTTTCCATTTCATTTAGTTCTGCTCTGAGCTTTGTTATTTCTTTTCTTCTGCTGGCTTTGGGTTTGATTTGCTCTTTTCTAGTTCCTTGAGATGTATTATTAGATTGTTAATTTGTGATCTTTCTAGAATGTTTCTCTTAGGACTGCTTTTCTTATATCTAGTAGATTTTGAAAGCTTGTACCCCCTCTGTCACTCAGTTCAAGGAATTTTTTTATTTCCCTCTTAATTTCAACATTGACCCAAGGATCATTCAGTAGCAGGTTGTTTGTTTCCCATGACTTTGCATAGATTTGAGTGTTTCTCTTGGAATTAATTTCTAGTTTTATTCCACTGTGGTCTGAGAAGATACGTGGTATAATTTTGATTTTTTTTTTGTATTTGATGAAACTTGTTTTATGGTCTATGGGTCTATGATATGATCAATCTTGTAAAAAGTCCCATGTGCTGATGTATATTCAGTAAACTGTATGTACAGTTTTGGAGCTGAATATTCTATTAACATAAATGTCTGTTAGGTTCATTTGTTCTAGAGTCCTATTTAAGTCTACTTCCTTCCTTCCTTCCTTCCTTTCTTTCTTTCCTTCTTCTCTTTCTTCTTTTATTTTTTTTTATTTAGGCATATTACAGAGATACAAATGTTTAGGTTACATATGTTGCCTTTGCCCCACATGAATCAGAGCTTAAAGTGTGTCCATCCCCCGGATGGTGCACACCACACCCATTAGGTGTATATAGACCCATCCCTTCATCCCCCTCCCATCTGCCCAAAACCCAATGAATGTTACTACCATCTGTGCACATACATGTTGATTAGTTAATACCAATTTGATGGTGAGTACATATGGTGCTTGTTTTTCCATTCTTGTGATATTTCACTTAGTAGAATGGGCTCTAGCTCTACCCAGGATAATACAAGAGGTGCTAGATCACCATTGTTTTTGTGGCTGAGTAGAACTTCATGCCATGCATTTACCACATTTTATTAATCCACTCATGTATTGATGGACACTTGGGTTGTTTCCACATCTTTGCAATTGTGAATTGTGCTGTTATAAAGATTCTAGTGCAAAAAAAAAAAAGATTCTAGTGCAGATATCTTTTTTGTAGAATATCTTTTGTTCTTTTTGGTAGATGCCCAATTATGGGATTGCTGGATCAAATGATAGTTCTACTTGTAGCTCTTTAAGGTATCTCCATATTGCATTCCACAGAAGTTATACTAGTTTGCAGTCCCACCAGCAGTGTATGAGTGTCCCTATCCGTCTGCATCCATGCCAACATTTATTGTTTTTGGACTTTTAGATAAAGGCCATTCTCACTGGAGATAAGTGATACCTCATTATGGTTTTGATTTGCATTTCCCTGACAATTAAAGATGTTGAGCATTTTTTCATATGTTTGTTGCCCATTAGTCTACCTTCTTTTGAAAAGTTTCTGTTCATGTCCTTTGCCCACTTTTTGATAGAGTTGTTTGATTTTTTTCTTGCTGATTTTACTGAGCTCATATAGCTCATCTACATATAGATGCTAGCTATCAGCCCTTAAATGGATGTGTAACATGTGGATATTTTCTCTCATTCTGTAGGTTGTCTGTTTGCTCTCATGATAGTTTCCTTGGCTGTTTCTTTATTGATTTTCTGCTTTG